GCTACTTCAGCTCGTTCAGCTCGACTATTCCTGCCAGCTCGACTATACAGACTTATCCATTTTGTCCGACTAAGTCCTTCGGACTTGTTTCTCGACCTTGTCTAAGTCGTTTCCTTAACTTGTTCACGATCAGCCCCCTTTGATCTGAGCTAAGTTATCCTTTTCCTCGATACAAACCGGCCCACTATTTCGAGCAGGTTCCGGGCCGTTACAAAGGATACTCCAAAGATAAAGGATGAGGATCTCAAAGGAAAAGGTATCTCTGATGATGATGATATCCTTCCAGATCCTACATCAGTTAAGGAGAAATCATTGGTTGAGCGAGAGAGACAGGTACGTAGTACCATTGTCATGGCTGTTACTAACAAAATCATGAGGAAGATTCTTAGTGAATGAACTGCAGTAGGAATGTTATGAATCTTAGATGCTAGATACATTTCAACGTCTCAGCCAAATAGAATGTATCTGAAGCAGCGACTCTATGGTTTTAGGATGAATGAGTCTATATCTGTAGAGAACAATCTCGATGAGTTCTTGAGGATCATAACAGATTTGGGTAGCGTCAATGTGGAAGTGTCAGATGAAGACCAATCGATTCTTCTGCTGATGTCTCTGCCTAAGCAGTTTGAGAGTTTGCGTGATACCTTGAGGTACAGAAAACCACAGTGACGTTTGAAGAAGTTGTGAAATTTATGGAAAGAGTACTAAGTCTAAAGGAGAAAGGTTGTATTCGAATTCAGCTTCGAATTACAAAGGAAAGTCTACTACGAAAGACTAAAGTTCAAAACAACAGGGTAGCAAGTCCAAGAAGAACAAAGGGAAGCAGAATGCCATCACTTGTTGGATTTGTGGCGAAGAAGGACATTTCAAGAGAAATTGTCCAAAGAAGACTGGTCAAAAGGGTAAAGAAAGGGGTCAGGAGACAGGGCAGTCATCGGCTGTTGAGTACGTTGAGTCACTGACAGTTTCAGAGGTTAATGTGGTTGAGTCTGTGAATTTCAATGAGATTTGGATTTTGGATACAGGTTGCACATTTCACATGACTTCGAGGAAAGACTGGTTTATTGATCTGAAAGAGTATACTGCAGGGTCTGTTAGAATGGCAAACGAGACTGTTTCAAGAGTGGCTGGTATTGGGCCAATACGTATCAAGACTTTAGAGGGTAATCATGTGGAGATTAAGAATGTGAACTATGTCCCAGATTTCTCAAGGAATTTGTTGTCTCTCAGAACATTTGAGGATCTCGGGTGCACATTTACATCAAAGGATGGGTTACTTGAGGTAAAGAAAACCGGGAAAACAGTGTTGAAGGCTAAGAGAGAGCATTCGCTCTGTTTTCCATAGGGGAAGAGTCTCATTGGCGAGGCTAATGCAGCGAGTGCCAATGATGATACTAGTCTGTGGCACAGTAGTCTTCGAAGGGTTTGGATATTCTGGTTAATAAGGGTTATCTGAACAAGGAGAGTGTGTCAGTGTTGCGGTTCTGCAAGAGCTGTATCTTTGGGAAAGCTCACAGAGCGAGTTTTGGCACAGGACAGCATTCGAGTAAGCACTGTCTGGAGTATGTGCATGCAGATTTGTGTGGTTCTCCATCTGTTCCTCAGTCACTTGGGAAGTGTCATTATTTTATGAGTTTGATTGATGATTTTACGAGAAAGGTGTGGGTTTTCTTTCTGAAGACAAAAGATCAGGCGTTTGAGAAGTTTGTAGAGTGGAAAGTGTTAGTTGAGAATCAGTCAGGTTTGAGAGTTAAGAAGCTGAGAAAAGACAATGGCCTTGAGTTCTGCAACAGGGAGTTTGATGGTTACTGTTCAGAGAATGGTATTGCTCGACACAGGACCATTCCTCACACGCCACAAAAAATGGTGTTGTTGAGAGAATGAACATGACTATACTTGAACGAGTAAGGAGCATTCTTAGTGAGTCAGGTCTACCTAAGGGTTTTTGGGCTGAAGCAGTGAACAGAGGAGATATGGTCAAACACAGCTCCATTTAACCACTTGAGGCATTTTGGGTGTGTTTGTTATTATCATTCAGATGATGGTAAGCTGCAACCTAGAGCAAAGAAGGGGGTTTTCATTGGGTATCCTTCAGGGGTTAAAGGTTACAAGATCTGGTCGTTGGAAGAAAGGAAGAGTATTGTTAGCAGGAACGTTGTTTCCAAAGAAGATGAGGTCTACAAGGATCTGTTGGACAAGGCTAATGGTACCAGGGAACCAAATGTTACTTTTCTTGATGTAGAGCTTGGTATAACTCATCAGCCAGATACCAGCTCAGGTGGAGATATTCAGGAGAATGCTGAAAGTACGCCTACTGAGGTTGTTGATCTGCTGACTGAAGAAGAATCGGCAGAAGAGGATTCATCCAAAAGTGATGATGAACCACCAGGAGCTGAACCTGCAAGTTATCATTTCGCTCGCGACAGGAACCCAAGGAAAACAAAGTTTCTTGAGAAGTTCAAAGATTATGACTGTAGCTTGACAATGTTTGCTTCAGAAGACGGTGATCCCCCAGAACCAAGTGACTTCAAAGAAGCTATGAGAGATCCACACAAGAAAATGTGGAATGGTGCTTCCGATGAAGAAATGGATTCTCTGCGTAGTTGGTGAAAAAGCCTAAAGGGAGAAAAATAATAGGCTGCAGGTGGATATTCAAGAGAAAGTCGGGCATACCAGGTGTAGAAGAACCGAGGCTCAAGGCACGTTTGGTAGCAAAAGGCTATGCTCAGAAAGAAAGAGTGGACTATAATGAGATTTTCCCTCCAGTGGTGAAACACGTTTCCATCAGGTACTTGATGTTAATCGTTGTAGATGGTGACTTGGAACTTGAGCAGTTAGATGTCAAGACGACCTTTCTTCATGGAGATTTAGATGAAGAAATCTTCATGGCTCAACCAGAAAGGTATGTTGAGAAGGGAAAGGAAGACTATGTATGTCTTCTGAAGAATTCCTTGTATGGACTAAAGCAAAGCCCGAGCCAGTGGAACCAAAAGTTCAATGCCTTTACGATGGAAGTTGGGTTCATCCGAAGTATCCATGATCAGTGTGTGTACATCAAAAACCTCTCAGGTACATACATCTACTTGCTCTTATATGATATGTTGGTGGCTTGCAAAGACATGGTTTTCGTCAAAGAATTGAAAGATCAGCTCAGCTCTAAGTTCGAAATGAAAGACTTAGGAGCAGCAAGGAAAATTCTTGGTATTGATATTATAAGAGACAGGAAAAGAGGTACTCTAAAGCTGTCTCAGGCAAGTTACTTAGAGAAAGTGCTGAAGACGTTTAGTATAGACTTGGAAAAGCCTGTAAACACACCCATGGGGGTACACTTCAAGCTTGCAGCAACAACTGAAAAGGAGGAAACTGCTGATCAAGAGTACATGAGGTCAGTTCCTTACTGTAATGCTGTTGGTAGCTTGATGTACGAGATGATTGGAACTAGGCCTGACTTAGCATATCCAGTAGGTTTGGTGAGTAGGTTTATGAGTAATCCTAGTAGAGAACACTGGAATGCGGTTAAGTGGGTGCTGAGATATGCCAGAGGATCGTTAGGCATGAATCTGACATTTGAGAAAGGCTCATAGTTCAAAATTTGTGGATTTTGTGATTCTGACTATGCGGCTGAATTAGACAGGAGAATGTCTATATCAGGATACACTTTTGTATCAGGTGAATGTGCTACTAGCTGGAAGTCCACGTTACAAAAGGTAGTGGCATTGTCCACAACAGAGGCAAAGTACATCTTGATGATAGAAGCTGCAAAAGAAGCCGTGTGGTTGAAAGGTTTAAGCAAGGAGTTCGGTTTTGAACAAGACAGCGTTGAGATTTTCTGTGATTCACAAAGTGCTTTGGCTCTAGCCAAGAACAATGTTCATCATGAGCGTACAAAGCATAATGCTACAAAGTTGAGCTTCATACGTGAACAGATGGAGGAAGGAGAAGTGAATTTGTCAAAGGTTCATACAAGTGAGAATTCTGCTGACATTTTCACTAAAGTGTTGCCAGTAAGTAAGTTCAAACAGATTTTGAGCTTGCTTGGTGTTTCTAAAGAGAAACTTCAAAGGAACCGAGTGATCGGAGTCCACAGAAGATCAGGGAGGAGCAATCATTCGACCAATGTGGAGTTTGTCGGATGTATTGGTCTCTGATTTTGAATCAGTAGTCCCGTTTGGAGCTGATTGAAGGTTAACCAGCATTTGAGTTCGTTTAGACTCGGTACATGTGGTTAAGTGTTTGTCACTAGATGTCATCGTTTCGGAGCTTTGTTAAGCTGAAGAAACAAGAAAAGAGTCTCGAGAAGGTTGTTGCAGCGAGTGAGATTCATGAGCTGGTTTCAGTTACGGGTTGTTGTAATCGGGGAACCATATAAAATGGGTTCGTTGGGCTGTTTCTTGTTTATCGATCAGTCATATTTTCGGGTGAGAGAATTATTGTATCGAGAGGGAAAACAGAGAGAGAGAGAAATTCCGGTGAGTGAATGTTCTTTTGGGGTTTTCCGGTGAGAGACGACTGTGATTAGTGGATTCCCAATTAAACTCGGCCAGACGTAGAGTGCGGTTTGCACCTGAACTGGATAAATAGCTGTGTATACTTTCTGTTTCTGCTTTTCTGATTTCTAGTTGCTGTTAAGTTCTTCTCCGATCCCAGTTCCGGTCAATTGGAGTTTGCAATTCAGGTTCAAGGAGGTGTATTTTTATAAGATGCTCGTTCCAATCTTCAAATACTCTGTTTCTTTGTTTTGTTTATTGGTGAAACAGAGCAAGAATCAGTTCTACCTGGTTCTGTTGGTGAATCAGACTCATACTCGCTGTCGAGGGGGTAGAATCTCAAATTACTCTCTATTTGAAAATTACAGCTGGGAAAAAATCACCTGACCTTAACTCCCCGACACAATATAAGCGGCGTCTTTCTATATGCGACATTCATTGATCATGAATTAATATATTTTCTGCTTCTGTGATTTAATAGGTTACAAGGAGATTTCTTTCTTTATGCGATATTCATGGATCATATTCTGTATAAACCGAAATGTCCTCTGAGAACGTTGAAGATTCTTGAAGAGTTGCTGTGGGAATTTGCAAGCCAGGCCTAGGAGGGTTTACAAGAGCATCCACATTTCCTTCCATCATCTCCACCATTCTGTTCATGGTTGGGCGATCTAGTGGTGAAGGCTGAATACACCACTAACTCACCAATGTCATTTTCTTTGCTATCTCCTCTTCTTCGCAGGTGATTGCATCTTCCTTAAGCCTTGCACTGTCTCCCTTTTCAAGATCCTTATATATCCATTCAGGAAAGTACGTTGAGCTTGCTTTAGATGCAGAGTTTTGAGAAGCTCTTTCTTTGTTCCTTGCTCCTATCATCTCAAGTACCAGCATTTCATAGCTATACACACCTGACTTGTGGGAAACTCTACCGTACATTCTTGAAAAGAGTTCAGGTGCAATGTACCCTATCGTTGCTCTTCTGTCTAGTAGTGACAAGATGCTTTCTCTCCTCTGGCAGAGCTTAACAAGACCAAAATCTGAAACTTTAGGGAAAAGATTGTCATCTAAGAGTATATTATGTGGTTTTATGCCGAAATGTACAATCCTTGATCTGCATCCATGGTGTAAGTACTCAAGAGTCAAGACCACGAGCAATGCCTAGCACAATCTCATAAAGTGTTTTCCAATCCATCTTCATCTGCATTTTGCTTGACATGAACTTATCAAGAGACCCATTTTCCAAAAATTCATAAAGAATAGCTCTTATGGTACCTTCAGAGCAGAATCCTAGCAGGGTAACAATGTTGACTTGAGAAGTTTGGCTCATGCTTGCAGTTTCATTGATGAAGTCTTCACCATTACCCTTTGAGTCTTTCAATACCTTTACTGCAACCATGCGGCCATAGGAAAAGGTACCTCTATAGACAGTTCCAAATCCCCCTCTCCCAACCACTTCTGCGAATGACTGTGATTATGGTCACTTGTAGTACATAGCTGTACTGCTTCAGTTGATTAAATGCTTTGAGTTCTGGCAGATCATGAGATCGTTTTCTAATATTGATACCACCCGTTACACCTATGAACAGACATATAGCTGAGACTACGAAAAGTAAGGAAGCGGAGGGTTGCAATAGTAGAAAACAGTGATGTTCTTATAGGTTGGAGAAAGCTCAAAAATTTCGGGAGGCAATGTTGAGATGATAAATGCAGAGGAGCAGAAAACAGTGATGTTCTTGTACAGTGATGTTCTTGTATGGCAAGGGTAAGAGTCTGAGATGTTTGATTTAGATGGAGAACAGTGTACTCTTGGTCTGAGATGATTAAAGTTGTACTTCTTTTTTTGTGTTGCAGCGAAGCTTCAGCAATGGATGACCGCAATTTCTTTGAAGAGTCCCTACCCAGAAGCGGCAACCGGCGGTTATGTTCCCACAATGAAACCGGCGGAATAAAGAGAAGAGAAAGAAAAAGACCAGATAATAAGTCGGGAGATAATACATGATCTTTTGGGGTCTGTTAACAGTAAGCCTTGTGTTGAGAGAGAGAGAGAGATAAGTAGCCAGTAGAGACGGTGAGAGTAGAAACGGACGAAGTTAAGAGAGGATAGTGACCGATACAGAAAGACTTGGAGTCAACTATTAACCCTAAAAACACGAAATTGAGATAGAGAGAGAAGTTGAATAATCAATGTTCTTTTTTTTTATCCATAACTTTTTCTTGGAAACAGAGGAATCAAGGAATTTATTTTCTTTCTTTTGTTGTACAGAAGTATTTCAATGAACATGATCACACGTGAACGGAGACTTGCGGATAAATCCAGACCATACTATCTCTCTCCCAGGCCCCACTTCCTCTTCCATGTTCTCACACATTTAACCACTATTCAAATCATAACTAATTCATGAAATACTCATTTGATAGTCTGAAAATTAATTTATAGAATATCGAACTGGAAATTCGAAGCATCTCAGCCATAAACCCGATAATTTAACTTGGAAGTAATGAACTGCATTTACCTATTGTTTGTTGAACAAGAAAATCACTATTTGTGATTAATGGTCGTGGGTTCTGGAGAATAAAATCTTTTATTAATAGCTTAAAGACGAAACGATTACAAGAGATGACTCAACCAAGAGGTTATGCCGAAGTAAAAAAAAGTGTTTATGCAATAAACTAGAAAGCTATGAGTTTTTAGGTACTCTCTAGATTGTATGAATTGTCCTGTTTGTGCTTCGGGGTCTTCTTATTTATAGGAATAGGAGGTCGGTTGCTGCAAGCTCATTTTTCTTTTCTCCTTTGATGAATATTTTCATATTTGCGATATGAAAATATCCTTTATTCTCCAAAGAATATGGAAATTCTCTTTTATCCTTGAATATTCATTCGAGTTCATCCGATGCTTCGGAAGTTTGGTGATTATCTTCAAAGGTTTTTCTTTTTTAGTTACGTCGGTGCGATCTTCTAAAGTTTGATTGGCTTAGATTATTGCTAGAGAAAGCCTATTAGGAAATGTGTTCATTTCCCCTCTAACAGTAAGTCCCTCCAGTTTGGTGAGACTGATTGTAAATCGGGTCGGCGGACTTCATGAAGTAAGTGGGTTTGATCTCGCAACAAGCATTAGTTCGCCAAGAGCGTTTCTCCGTGATGGCCAGCTCGGCCCGTTATTAAGTGGATTCGACACGTAGCGCTTCCCTTGAATAAAATTTATTTATATGCGCTCCTTTAGGGTTTTGTTCCAAGCGGGAAAGGTGAAAGGTTTTCGACACAGGTTTTAGGGTTTGATCTTCAGAGCTTTCTTCTGTTCGAGGCTTTTCAGTTTCTGATTTCAGATCTTGATTGATCATATCTTCCTGGAAGCATGGGATTAAGGAAGAGAGACAGGATTCCTTCATTTGAAGTTGACATCTCTGATTTTTCTCCGAACAAGAAGCCCAGACCCGCGGCTCCGTCTCAAAATCCAATCGTTGTCGGAGATATTTTGCTAGATAAGCCCGACATTGCTGTTACAGACGCGCAATCTTCTCCCTCCAAAATCTTGATAGAGGATCCAGAGGTTGCATCGCCAATCGAGGAGCAAGACTCCGTTTTTTCTGACGGCGGAAGAGCATGAAACTAATTCACTAAGTCCTACGAGCAGCTTGCCGAAGTACCCAGAGGGTGTTGATGAGGATCCGGATTTCAATCCCCACCAATTGTTGCTCCGCTGGAATGGAGATCCCCAACGATATTTAATGAATATTTTGCGTCGAATTTAATCTGGCAGTGCAGGACGAAGCCGAACCAGAGGATGTCGGTTGAAAAATTGAAGCGATTCGCCGGTTTCTCGGGAATGGCTCAGCGGACTAGTTGAGAATCTCAAAAAGCATGAATATTTTTCGCTCCTACTTCTTTAGCGAGGCAAATTCGTGCGAGCAAAGCTTCGTACTCGGCTTCATTGTTCGAGGTAGGGAAGCCGAGCTTGAATGACTGTTCAAGGACTTCTCTGATTTTAAACAGATGCCGACTCCTGATCTTTGTTTTGAGGACGCGCCGTCTACATACAGGTTCCAACGGTTTTCTGTGGGTGCCTCGTCATTCAGTAGATCTGACAGAATTTCGATCATAAAATCTGCTAAGACTTGAGATTTAGCGCTAGTGCAAGCTCGATACTCAATATCGTATTCGGATAATTCTATTTCCCATTTAGCCATTCGGCCGGACTGACTAGGACTATGCAGAATGCTCCAAAACGGTTGACTAGTGAAGACGATGATAGTGTGAGACTGGAAGTAGGATCGTAATTTCTGTGCCGAGATAATTACTGCATAAGCTAGTTTTTCCAAGGCCGGGTAGCGAGTTTCACCTGTTGGTCAAGCGGGAGGAACCCCTTGAACAAACAAAAAAGGGTAATTGGCTCTATCCAGAGTTTTGCTTATATAGAAGATAGGTTTTTGCTCGCCACGGTATTCTCTGACAAGGACACCACTTACTGCCGCCGTTGAGATTGCAATGTAGAGATATAGTGTCTCGCCGTTCTCTGGTTTTACTAATATCCGTGGGGTGGTCAGGTACTCCTTTAGTTGCGTGAAAGCCTCTTCGCATTTGTCGTCCCAGTCAAAGCGTTTATTACTTCAGAGTAATTGATAAAAGGAGAGACATTTGTCTATGGAGCGCGAGATGAATCTGTTCAGCGCAATAATTCTTCCAGTTAGTCGTTGCACTTCGCATGTGTTTCTAGGTGACAAGTGATCTAATATTGCCGAGATTTGTTTTGGGTTTGCTTCTATTCCTCTTTGGGTGACGACGTAATGTATGAAATCTCCTGAAGCTATCCCGAATGTGCATTTAGCTGGATTTAATTTCATTCCATACCGCTCGAGGGTTTTGAAGCAATCCCTGAGGTGGTTGACATGATCTTTAGCGGCCGTGGATTTTACAAGCATGTCGTCAATATAAACCTACATAGTGCGGCCGAGCTTACTCGCAAACATCTTGTTGACTAACCGTATGTAGGTGGCTCCTGAGTTTTTTAGTCCGAAAGGCATAATTTTGTAGCAATACGTTCCGCAGTCGGTGATGAACGTCGTCTTTTCTCTGTCATCGGGGTGCATGAAGATTTAATTGTACCCGGAGAAGGAGTCCATAAAGGATATCAGATGATTTCCAGCTGTTGACTCGACCAGTCGGTTGATTTGGGGGAGCAGAAAGCAATCCTTTGGGCAAGCTTTATTCAGATCAGTGAAGTCAACGCAGACTCTCCACTTGCTGTTCTTCTTTTTAACGACGACGGAGTTGGCTAGCCAGTCGAGATATTAAACTTCGGTAATTGATCCAGCTTCGAGTAGTTTTTTCACTTCGTCAGTTACTGCTTGGGCTTTTTCGGAGGCCGAGCTTCCTTCGTTTGTTTAATCGGTTTGAACGTAGGGTCTACATTTAGCTTATGCGATGTGATTCTGGTGTCGAGCCATTTTATTATCTCCATATACCAAGCGAATAAATGCATGTTGTTTTGCAAAAGTTTGACGAGCTTCGTTTTAATATCTTCTGCGAGGTCGCCGCCGATGCTGACGGTTCTTTTGGGGTGTTGCTCGTCGATGCTTACTTGTATAACCCGCTCGGGCTTTGGTTTCTTGTGAAAAGGAAGGTGAGGGTCTAAGTCCTCGTTTACCATGCACGTAGTTGCCGTTCTGATTTTTCTCTCGCTAAGTAGGCACATTCTTGCCGCCGACTGATCGTCTTGTAGGGTGAACATCCTGGTGGGTGTCGGGAACTTGATGCATTGGTGATAAGTTGAGATCACGGCCTTTATACTATTGGTCCAGTGGGTCCCGAGTATGATGTTGTAAATAGTTGGGCAGTCAATGACTGAAAATTTGATCTTTTTGGTTATGCCGCCGATGTAAGTGAGTAGATTTATCGAGCCGATACTATTGGAGGTATCGCCTATGAATCCTGTTAGCGGGTTTTCCGTTGTTGTTATCTTGCTTTCGTCGATGCTCAATCTTGCCAATGTATTTTTGAAGATAATGTTGACGGTGCTACTGCTGTCAACCAAAGCTTTGGCGACTGTGCTTTCATGGATTTGCAATGTTATGACCAACGGGTCGATATGCGGTGTGTGCGAACTTCGTAATTCCTCTGTTGTGAAGTCACTGATGCTTCATTCTGTGGGATAGTTGGATTGCGCTTGGCTTCTGCTGCTTTTCCCTCATGTTGATTAATCTCTTTACGCGAGCTGGGATCGTTGAATACTCCTCCTATGATCATGTAGGAATCATCGAATGTCGTGTGTTTTCCCGTGGGTGGTGGGATCGCGATGATAGGGTTGCCGTGCTCATCGAGAGCAGGCGTATTAGTATGCGCGGTAGTATCTTCTGTGTTACAGGTGAGGTTGGTAAGGTTGTTGTTGTCGGACGAAAGGCTCATCGCTTCTGATCTTTTCTTGCTATTTTTTAGAATTTATTCTCCTAGTTCCCACAGACGGCGCCAATTGTTGAACAAGAAAATTACCACTAGGGTTTGTGATTAACGGTTGTGGGTTTTGGAGAATAAGATCTTTTATTAATAGCTTAAAGACGAAGCGATTACAAGAGATGGCTTAACCGAGAGGTTATGCTGAAGTGAAAGAAAGGTGTTTATGCAATAAACTAGAAAGCTATGAGTTCTTAGGTATTGCTCTGTTGCTCTCTAGATTGTATGAGTTGTCCTTCTTGTGCTCCGAGGTCTTCTTATTTATAGGAATATGAGGTTGGTTGCTGCGAGCTCCTTTTCCTTTTCTCCTTTGGTGAATATTTCCATATTTGCGATATGGAAATATCCCTTATTCTCCGAAGAATATGAAAATTCTCCTTTTATCCTTGAATATTCATTTGAATTCATCCAATGCTTCGAAAGTTTGGTGATTATCTTCAAAGGTTTTCTTTTTTTAGTTACGTCAACGCGGTCTTCTAAACTTTGATGGGCTTAGATTATTGCTAGAGAAATCCTATTAAAAAATATGCTCATTTCTCCTCTAACACTTATGAATGCAAGTCATTAAAATGTCTTGTTGGTCTTTTGCAGACTGCAAATGAGTAGTTTATTGTTACTTTCGTGTGTCTTTAGAAACAATCTAGATGATACCTAAGAAATCCCATATGAGAGCGTTGATAGGTTTAGGAACTAAAAGAATAGAACGGCTACAGTCCGGTGACACAATGATTCAATCTTGAATGTAGACAATATACTTCATTTCATTAATATATTTGCTGTTTTCGCGCTTTTGTAAGCTCCAATAAGATATCTTTCTTCATACGACATTCATGGAACACACTTTTTTGTGCAATCTGATATATCCTCTGAAAGAGTGGAAGGTTCTTGTAGAGGCACTGTTGGGATTTGGAAAACAGGCCGAGGAGGAACTTCAAGAGCATCCACACTTCCTTCCATCATCTCC